ACACACACACACACACACACACACACACACACACACATATATATATATATATATATATATAATAAATAAATAAATAAATATATATATATGTGTGTGTGTGTGTGTGTGTGTGTGTGTGTGTGTTTATTGCAACTATATTTATTCAAAGTATTCTATTTCTGCCAACAAATTCCCGTAGTTCGTTATATTTATAAATACAAAAACGATTGACCTCATGATGCGCAGAAACGCTTGTAAACATATTATTAGTGTTTTCCAAATAGTCGCAGGATCAACATATATCACAAGTCACAATTTATTTAAATACGTACGGTGTCGAGCAAGAATATTACAAGTTTCATTAATATAAATTAACATTATAAAATATCATTCTCTGGACGTCAGTAATACCGTTCTAAGCGTGATGTCGAATTCTGGACTATCCACAGTACGGGATGTAATCGTAAATTATAATAATTGTTTTAATCCGTACGTCTGTCACGTTTGCAAAATTTCAGAGAACCTGCACGCATGTCACTGGTGCCGTTTGATCTCTTACTGCTCTAAGGAACACTTGCAATTGCACCGAGAGCAACACAAAGAGTTTTGTCTGGCTGTATTAAGCCTGAGTGACGAAATATACTACTCTCATGATATAACGCTTACAGAATGGACTGAATTTAAGAAGATTAATGTGAGAAAAGTTAAGAATAAACTTGGTCGCGATCTAGAGCCATATGAAGAGCAAATATTGCTATTTGCAAAATCGTGTCTCATATGCCGCCGCCAGAATGACCTCAGTGTCGTTTGCAACATATGCATGTCGGTCAGCATGTGTTACAGGCACATATCAACTCCTTATGTGCACAACTGTAAATATCTACGGCTTTGTAAAAAACTGGATATCAACAAAGGCGTAATAAATGAACAAAATGTACCAATACCGATAGACCTTCTAACTTATGAAAATTTAAGCGACATGAAAACATATCTTCGACAACATTTAGGACGTAGTAGAGATTACAACACTTGGAACTATGTCGATTTTTTATATACTAATTATTTCTCAAGACCATTGACGTTATTATTTCACATTTCGAGAACAAATATACAGCGACTGACGTTTTCTTCAATCTTTATAATTCACGTTATAGCCGGATCCTTTACGGACCGAAATAGTCTATTGGCTTGGGAAGTCTTTGTACATCAAATTTATCCTGACTCAACATTATTCGTTATAATGATAGAACCAAACTTAGAAAAAAATATTTATAAAATATCGCTTTGTCAAACTTGTCGCACCAAAAACAAAGAACTTTATTTTGTTTATTGTTCTATGACATATGGACATTATAGATATTCTCGTTTATATCTAGAACCACATCTAATTGTAGGATTTAATATAGATTTTGAGAATGATGGGACGGCTATTGTAGCAACATTAATGTGTCAGAAGAAACCATTATTTTTGACTTGCAAATCAGAAAGTAAGGCACAGCAGGTTGTTACGAAAATCGATAAAATATTACACAAAAAGCCTATCATCAATGAGAAGAATAAATTCGCATCTTGTAGACCACATAGAGATGTTGAGAGTGATTCTGTGATCTTTTTTCATCAGTATTTAATTGTGTATGCTAAAAAAGCTTACAAAAGAAAGAACTTAGACACTTCTAGCAATCACAACCAACCTAGCACCAGCAGCAATTCATTTGACGAATAATTGTATCGTCATACTAGTCTTATCATTATAAACAATATACAAGGTAAATGCCTCTTATAAATTTACTTTTTTGTTTTTGACCTTTCATATTTTCTTTTCTAAGTATAACATGCTGTATGCATTATATTTGCACATATAGAGATCATAATTATATTATAAGAGATCATAATTATATTGTATTACTTTTAATATTTTCCTTAAAAAAATACTCGGCGCGTCTGTAAAGTCTATTATGTACTCTACTGAAGATAGTGAATACATTTTCCAAAGTACTTAATAATATGGACTAATACCCACATATACATACACACACATATACACATGCGCGTATGGACATATTGCGAGACAATAAAGAACTAATGGAATGTTCATTGTGTCACATAATTGTCCCGTTATAGAGAGCTCCACATCAAGAGTGTTGCATCGAACAAATTTGTTAATATATAATGCAGCTGAATGAATATTGGAACATGTAAGGTTCTCGTGATATAATGCAAAATGAACTAACTTTAAACAAGAGAAAGTCAAAGTTACACATAAGTTATGTACGAGCTATATGTTTCGTGACCTGAAAGTGTACGAAATCAAATATCCTCATTTGCAAAATCATGTATTACTTGTCGCTGACAGTATTATCTGGCTGCACGACTTCGGCATCGGAAATCTCTTTATTACGACTAATTCAATAAAGATAATTTAGTAATATAGTAGATTATAAAGAAATATAAAGATCCAATGTTATATGTGCATTTATATGTTATACATGTATATGTTATATTTATATGTTATATATATTTATATATTGTTACATTATTATACATATTTATATGTCATACATATATATGCATGCATATATATACATATATATACATATATATATATATACATATATACATATATATACATATATATACACATATAC